TCTGTGTGTGTGTGTATGTGTTTGTGTGTTTGTGTGTGTGTATGTCTGTGTGTGTGGGGTTGTGCTTGTGTGTGGGTGTGTGTTTTGTGTGTGTGTGTGTGTGTGTGTTTGTGTGTTTGTGTGTGTGTGTGTTTGTGTTTGTGTTTGTCTGTGTGTTTGTGTGTGTGTGTGTGTTTGTGTGTGTGTGTGTGTGTTTGTGTGTGTGTGTGTGTTTGTGTGTTTGTGTGTTGTTTTTTGGTGTGTGTGTGTGTGTGTGTGTGTGTATTTTGAAAACCCTTCAAAGAGGCATGTGCGCCCCAAAGATGCAATCCTTATGGTTTGTTTTGCCAAAGCGGCCCCCTGCCTTACCAGTTTGCAGCAGTGCTGCGAATGCTGCGCGAGTCCGCAAGCCACAGATGTCTTGGATGCACTTCAGCTCGTCTCTGATGGACCCGGTGTCAGCGAAGTGATCGCCCCAAGTCACGACCCTTCCGTTCTCTAGGAGAGCTGCGAAAGCACAGCAGGTGCCTACGATCTTCGTCACCCCGGTCAGCTCGTCGCGAACTTTCTCACAGTCGCCTCCGTCACAAGCGTCGCCCCAAGTGACGACGCCCCCGCTGGCGAGCAGAGCGGCAAAAGCAGCGTCGGAGGCAGCCAGGCTCTGCACTTCTCGAAGCTGGTGCTGCACAGCCGTGCTGTCGCCCCCCAGATTGGGATTCCCCCAGGTGACCACCGTCCCATCCTTCCGCAATGCCGCGAATGCCGAGGAGGTCGCAACAATCGATCGTACATTCTGCAGCTGGTGCTCCACTCTAGAGCTGTCGGATCCATCACCCAGGCCCCACGTTGTCACGGAGCCTTCACCAGCAAGATGGGCCCAGGCCCGTTTGGCATTGTCGGTGGCAGTGCAAAAGATCGCCTGACACGCCGGGACTGCGAGCGCCTGGATGAAGTTCGCGTTGCCGAGCCCTGCCTCGTAAACGGTGCTTTCCATGTCAAGCCTGCAACCCTGCTCAGGTGCCACTAGCCACTCGAGCCGCTCTTCAGAAGAGAGCGCCCCGCAGTTACGGAAGTCCTCTTCCGCCACCTGCAGCAACTTCTGTAGCCTCCAATCTGGAAGGGCGCGCAGTTCGACGCACCGGCCGCTCAGCAGGCACACATGTATGCAGACAGGCGCAGGCTTTGCGTGCGAATCCATCTTGAGTGTCTATTGCTAACCCAAGAAACCCAGAGACCACCCCAAAAACTACCGATCCCTTCACCTTATCAGCAACCAGTCACAATGTTACTAAGCCCATGCATTCTCGAGCAAGTGAGGCAGGCCTCAAGAAGATGCAAGCGCCCCAGACACGCAATTTGCCCAATATATGCACGTGTCGAAGTATGTATGCATGTTTCTGTGACAAGTGTTAATTACTTACATACATGTGTATATATGTAACTATATCGGTACATGTATACATATCAATATGTAACTCGATCCGGAAACGGCCTGACGCCATCGAAGCCAAAGCTGCGCCGCCGCAGCATGTCGCGGGCTGATTCTACGGCGAAGCTTTCAATCCTAGGAACCTTAGGGTTTAGGGTTTAGGGTTTAGGTCAATGGCATGCCAATTCCGACAATAAAATGCAAGGGAGGCCATCCTGCCAGGCACTGCCAGGTTGAAGCCCGAAAGTTCAAGGTCTGTTTGGTATCTGTTGCATTGATGTGGTCGTCGTGATTTAGGTTCTGGAACATGAGACGCAACGGTCGGATCGTCTGCTGTCGATATCCGCAAAAACATCAAAAACTTGGGTTTGCACCTTCGGTTGGGTTGCGGGGCTTGCTCGCTGAACATGTAATGTAAGGGAGTTAATATTCAAAAAATGAAGTTTGGGGTTATATTGTACGTGAGATGAACATACTATTATGTTAATTGTGGAACCCTAAGGAATCACATCGGTAAATATTCCTGCCCCTATAGTACACTTGCGGGCTTCAACAACCCTGGAATGGCAAGCTCAATTTGGTGCACACCGATGGAATGCAGGGAATGCGGGTGAAACCGAAACCATTAAGAGGACACTGCAAGCTCGACGAAAAAAAAAAATCCTGCCTAAAACCCTTGTTCTCGGCTGCCTCGCTGCCCTAGCACAAGAGCGATTTTTTGTGCCGTCAACAACCGACTCGTTGAGAAAGAACTGCACAGCTCCTCAAGCACCGGCTCCACAAAGGATCTCGCCTCTGGCTTCCCTACCTGTAGCCCGAGCAGAAGGACCATGATGATGTCCACAGGTCTACAGGGCGGGTTGGGTTGGGGGGCGACTTGCAGTCTTTCTTCAGCTCTTCGCTGCTTTGGACTGACCGCTTCATCCTTGGGGTTCCCCCAGTAGGTGATTCAGTGTCTGGTGTGTAGCTTTTCAAAGCTGCTTTGGCAGTCATCGATGCGCGAACGGTTGCAGCTATGGAAACGTCGACAGTTTTGGCAACACTTTGTAACGCACGCAATCGTTTACTCTCTAATATTGACGTTGTCCTTGCTTCATACCCGTCTGTTAGTGAAGAAAGTGAAGCGCTTGCTGCATGTGTCACGAAGATGGGAACATTGCAAGCTGAAGACGTCTCTGCAGTTGTTGCTTCCATACGTCCGAGCACTCGCATTGCCTTAATCGATCCAGGGTCAAGGACATCTTAAATTGAAAATGATAGACCACTCTAACCACGTCTTTGTTGCCAATCAGTAAAGAGTGGGTGGTGTCATTCGCTGCTGTCGTTGGCTTATTCGAGAAAAACGCACTCGATGAGTGGTTTAACTGAGGGTTCTATGCGACAAAAGATGCGACCTTCTTCCGAAAGCAAATTGATGACAAGATGTATTCCGTTTCCTTGTGCATAAGCATGACACTCCTTACTTCACATGTGGTCGCTCATGTCTGTCGTATTCTGGCAAGGTATCAGCGGCAGGCTTGTGCGATTATCCTTTCTTACAGCTTTATGTTGGGCAATTGCCCCCTGACCTGCTTTTGACTTTGTCCACGCATATTCAACGAAGTGCCTTCGAGATGTTGGAATCACAAACCGTCTGTAGTTGCCCGGGAATTGAAGGGTGGCCGACATTCATTGAGCGAGTGCTTATAAGGAGGCTGGGATTCATGATGTATGGGCCACTTTTAAAAGGCAGTTCCTTATTCTTCGAGCAAGCGCCATACAACACCAAGCCCTTGTGAATACTTTGCGTTTAGTCCTTATTTGCAAGGCGGAACCCAATATACATTCCATATATAACTATGAAAATGATATTCAACAAAAAAATCAAACAATCGGACAGCTGTTGTTTTCCACATGGGAAGCTACACTCCGCGCCGTCTGCTTTCAGACGGCTGAGGGGTAGGCTCAACTTGCGGCGAGGGCGGGCCGGCAGAAGTTTTCCTCGTGCCCCCCTTGAAGCATGA